GGTTCGAGTTACGCTGAGCGTCGGGGCGCTGCGGGGTGCCGGTAGAACTAAAGTACTGCTCGTGAACAGCCGTGGGGGGGGGGCTGACTGATTATGAATTTTATGTTTTGATCCCTTTGTATTGTAGTGAAACGCAATGTAATAGCCTACCAGTCAGTAGTTTAAAGTCCGAATAGCAACTGGAGACTATTCGGACTCGGGTTTAGACCTCGCTTACGGTAGGCTACAACCGGTGATTGCGCACGCGCACTGGAATTTGAGTCCGAATAGCCTCCAGTGGCTGTTTGGACTCGAGTCTGAATAGCCACTTCGAAATATCTAGGTTTGAAATTTTCTTTAAAATAATCGATTTGTAATGATGGTTTTATGGCCATGTTCTGCCTCCGCAACCAAAATAAAGGTTGTGTTAGTGTAACAGTAGGTGTGTATGTGAAGAAAAAAAATTTAAAAATTAGATCTAGAAATCTAGAATGTATCAAATATGTCAATATTGACAATGTATCGTTCGCCTTCCCAAGAACACGACAGCTGGAACTAAAACGCAATATGTGTTAGCCATTTCTATTTCATTGTTCTTCTGTGTTTAACTCGACATTACTTTTCGTTCAGAACCCGGCTTCATAACAACAGATAGAAGCACTGTTGTCACAATAAGCCACTGCTTAAGCAGAGAGGGCTGTGAGTGCAAGGATGACTTTGGAGGCCATTTTGCGATGGTTACATGTAAAAGTATGTTTCCTATTAAGGATTAAGGAACAATAAAAAGTAAAACTAGATATGCCCTTTTAACTACCTTTTTATCTTATACCATACATGAAATTGTTTTCAAAATTTAAAATATACTTTATACCATATATATATTCTCAAAAATTGAGGTAGGTTAGCTCGATTATATTATTGCCAAAATGATTTTATTGCCTTTTGTTCCATAAACTGTAATAGTAAAAGTCTTACATTTATATTTGCTTAAATCTAGCAGACGACAAACTGGAAGCGAAAGTAAAAGTAGGCTACACAAGAGACCAAGACCTGTACTTTTACTTAACCTGCTTGTGGTTATAACTTATTGTAATCTTATAACGCAGAAATAAATTATCGAACTTTTTTTCAAATTTATTTAAACATTGACTTAATGTCTGAAGAAAACGAACGCTCTTTGAATCGCTCAAGAGTCCCTTTGACTACTTTGAGTAGAATTTTTGAAGAGGTAAGACAGTAAGAACTGATTGCTGCTTTATTTTTTATAGACTCTAGATCTAGACGATCTAGAATCTAGATCTAGATCTAGATTTAGATCTAGATCTAGATATTGATCTAGCTTTTGAAAGATTTACCTCAGAAAATTCTCACTTTAAAATGTCTTCTCCCCAATCTATAATTTCTTGTTGTAACTGTAGTAGAATGCTTTCGCTATTAGAGTACTGTCTGGGCAATCCGCCCACTTAACCCATTTTGGCCCTCTTGAGTCTCCTTTCTTGTGGCAGCCCAACTAAGCCACAGTTACTGAACCGTTACGCCGTTACACATTCTTCTTCCCTCAGAAGAGTGCATTTCTCATAATATGCCAGATTTCTTTCCAGTTGATAGCCAAAACTATTTTCTAAGATGTCCGGGTTATCCGCCCAGGGTCTGGGCTATATGCCCACACCGGTCCACGCAGACCGCCCCCCCTAGTCTGGGCTACCCGCCCACGCTGTATCCAGACAGTGTGTGCATTCCGCCCACCAAGAATATTATATCAAACGGAGTGTCTACGTGCACGGTAACCGTAATGA